TATATATACCTATATATATATAATATATATATATATATGCTAATTTTAGGCACAATAATACAAATAAATTAAATTGAAAAACTGAAGGTTATTTAGGGGAATTTTTGTTAACAATTCATGAAATTTTTTGCAAAACATTTAGAATTGACCAAAGCATGACCATAATTAAATTTAGTTAAAAAAAAAAAAATTTTAATGTATCTTGAAATTTCTAAGACAACTTCATGTTATTAGAGTAATAACATTCTAATAATGTTATTACTCAAGATTGTGAAAATTTATAATGATATGACCTTGAGCTAATTTCATTATAAACTATTAATAAAAGCAGGTTGATTTGATTCTAATAAATAGAGATTTTTTGAGTCAAGTCTTGAATCGCTTATTTGATTTGATTCAAAATATTTAGGCTTAGCAGGGGCCTAATATATATATATATATATATATATATATATATATATATATATATATATATATATATATATATATATATATATATATATATATATATCCACGACATGATATTAAATTAGTTTTTTGAGGTAGGTAAGATTTTTTAGGCCTTAAATTAGAGCACACATTGTTTTTGTCACGATTTTTTTATAAAACATTAAATTCAAAATCAACTAAATCGAAAACTAAAATGCTTTTATTTTTATTTTTTTAATACAAGTAAAATCTATATGCATTATGAAAATCCAAAAATAGATCTAAACATATTGATTTAGATACCAAAAAAAAAAATAATAATTAAACATTTTATCTTAATTTAAAAAAACATTCGGACTAAAGTTATGTATATATTTTAAATAATATATTAAAACAATAATTTACCAAAGAAAAACCATAAAAAAAGCATTTCAATATTTTGCAGATCCACCTTTCTTAAATAAGGATTGAAGAAAGCAATTATCTAAAATTTCAATGTTTCTATCAGCATTAAGTCAACCTTCAAATAATTAATAGCATTTAAGTCCTGCATAATTCATGTAGGCCCAAAAGTCTACACTGCCATTACCTTGCTTGGTTGGTTTTCATGTACAATTCAAATCAAATTACTCTTGAGGTGATCGCCATAGCAGAACACGAAGCAATAACATATTTTTGCATATCTACCTCAACATTCATTTTGTCTGAGAATATAACATTTCGCCACTTGCTGTCGTGTTTCATCAAGCAAATTAATTTTATTAATTAAAAACGTTTATCTCATTGTGTTGCCCACCAGATTATCCAGATCCATAATGTCATCTGTTTCAGTATAAGGTTTTCAAATATGCGAATATTCAATATTTAACTTATTGGCTATTTGACGAGGAGATAATACTTGGTTTTAAATAAAAATAGATTTGTAACATGTTTTTTCAGAGAATCTCAACCATGATTTTGGAGTTTCATGCTGTATTACTTCACTCGTTATGAGGCTTTTTCAATATCTAATTTCTTTGTGTTTTCATCAGTACTATTTCAAAATTAGAAATTTAGAGTTAACAAATGCTAATGAAAATCAAATTAAATTATTAAAAAAAATATTACATTAATTTTAAAAATAAAGCAGTAAGCATTAATTTTTAACGAACAAAAAAAATTTAAAAAAATATAGTCGATGTTATAAAGTTACATATAATTAGGGATACAAATGAAATTTTATGGTAACAACTTGTCCATTAAATAAAAAACACGATACTTATTAATTAGAAATAATAAAATATTTAAAAAGCTAACTAGTTTTTAAAGTAATTTTAAGCAAACAGGATATATAAGTAAGAATGGTCTAATTAATGGCCAATGGTGTATGTATCATATATATATATCTATCTATCTATCTATCTATCTATCTATATATATATATATATATATATATATATATATATATATATATATATATATATATATATATATATATATATATATATATATATATATATATATATATATATATATATATATATACTGTATTGTATTACATAGTATACTATACTTGGACATATATTATTATTTTTAATATTTTATTATTTTTCAGAGTTTGATTTGTATGCATTAATTGTGTTTGCATACAATTGTTGTAATCGTGTTGTAATATAATATGCACACAAATTTATTGGATACAAATTGTATATAATATATGGTTAAATGATTATGATATATTATAAAAACTATATTTTATAGTTTATATTACCTATATTATAAAAACAAATATAAATTAAATGCTATATAAACTATGTAACATAATACATTTATATTTAACTTATATATAAATATTTTATCTTACATACTTTATAAGTAACTTGTGAACTTTTTAGCCTTTTTTTTTTTTGCATTTATAGTATAGTCATTCACATAATTATATATTATAATTTATATTATAATCATTCACATATAATTATATATATATACATATATATATATATATATATATATATATATATATATATATATATATATATATATATATATATATATATATATATATATATATATATATATATATATATATATATATATATATATATATATATATATATATATATATATATATATATATATATATTAGCTATATACCTTAATATAAATGTATCATACATCTACAAAAGTAGTGTTGGGTGAATTCTATTTTTGTTCAGAAAAAAATTGAATACTCAGATCTGAAAACAATTTCAAATCAAGATAAGACTATTTGAAATAAAAAAGTAAAAATTATTAAATTGTATCGCTCAGATTTTTAGAAAAACAGTTTTGAAAATGTAAACAAATCACGCTTTTAACAGTCAGATAAATGTAGCAGAGAATTACAGTTTTTTATATATTTAAACATTTTTATATTGTTTTTATCATTTTTGAATCAACAATTCAATTATCTTTATTATTATTTCATTCTATCAAAAATATACAAATAATAACTACTAAGTAAAACTTTAAAAATATTGTTGCTACTCAGAAAAAATTTTGGTATCTAAAGGCCGTCACCATCTTTAAAACTATAATATTTGAATTTGACACTGCGCTTGCCTATAATAACTTTCCACATCTAAACGACCGTGCATTTCTTTCCCGAATGGTTACACACTGCTCGTGTGTAACCATTCGGCGAATTTTATATGCCAAAGTTTTTAAATAATATGATTGCGCAATTAAATGTTATAAATAGATCATTTAAATAAATGTAAATCGAGAAATAAATCTGTGTAAATAAATTCACTGTTTAAATGCTAAATTAACTAAATTAGCCTTCATAAAAATAAAAAAGTTTCAATTCAATCAAATGATCAATCATGAAAAAAGATGCATTAGTTTAAACCCTTTTTACAAACCAAAAACAGTTTATTAATTATTTTTTGATTACTAACAAAGTAACTGCATACAACTTTAAAACTTGTTTAAATGTTTTTTAAAACGTTTAAAATATACGTTTTTTTGCAACTATTTATTAGCTAGTTATTCAAACTTTGTGAGCAATTTTTTATGGGTAGTAAAATAAATTTATATAATTGCGATTTATTTTATAAAATAAGGGGTCTTCCATAAAGTACGTACGCTCATAGGGGGGAGGGGGAGGTCTTCAAAAAGCGTACGAAAGCGTATGGAGTTCAATTTAAAAGTATGTACATCAATTTCCTAATTTTACACAATTAACCAGCTAGTCATTAAAAAAGTTAAAATTCTGACTAAAGATTCTAGTTTGCCAACATAAAAAGATGTATTGTATATGGAGTAGAAGGTATAGTTTCTCCCTATGCACACACATGCATGGGCGCCCAGAGGATTTTTGATGTTTCAGATAAACCACTTCCACAAAATGTGCAAAATCCAAACTTAAGTATGTTTATACCTATGCCATTTGAAGTGCCTTGCAAAAAATTGTTATGGCGTTAGTCTGGGAACAAAATAGCCCTCACATGCTTGCATCTCTTTTCCTGCCCAAACATGAGGGCACTAATATTAGTGCCCTAACGTTTGGGCAGAGGAGGGGATGCAAGAATTTTAGGGCAATTGTTTGCAAACCCACTTCATATGGCACGGGTGTTTGATGAAATAGCTGTGTAATGTAGTAAAATTTTCTGACCCCCTTCCCCCAAAAAATAAATAAATGAGAGGCTGTACATTTTGTATCGACATAACTTTTGTTATACAATTTTTCAACAAAATTTTACAACGAAATTTAAACTCTGTCGTCAAATTTGAATTTAATTTTAGATCGTTGAGTTAAAAACTTTACTACATAAGTAACCTCACTTTTGAGCAAGGCAAGCGTTTCAGGGCTATTTATTGATAGGTCTCTGCCATCCCAATTTTTTACAAGGTCTCCTCGTTTGGCAAAGGTATAAACATACTTAAGTTTGGAGTTTGCACAATGTGTGAAAGATTCCTTTCTAGAACATCAAAAAATCCTACAGGCGCCTATACCACCCCTTATATACTGATATATATATATATATATATATATATATATATATATATATATATATATATATATATATATATATATATATATACATATATATATATATATATATATAGTATATATATATATATATATATATATATATATATATATGTATATATATATATATATATATATATATATATATATATATATATATATATATATATATATATATATATATATATATATATATATATATATATAGGGTACTTTGGCGGAACTTCATATATATATACATAGGGTACTTTGACGGAACTTCATTTCCCTTATGGTTTATGAATGACTGTCCCATTAAACGTGCTTGTTTTATTTGGTTATGTTTTTACTCACAAAGACAACTTTCTTTCCTGTTTCTACGGCTTGGAATAAAGAGGTTTATTAAAATCTTAACAATAACAAAACTAGTAATATAAAATAATATTAACATTTTTTGCGTATTGCGCCTAAAAACACGAATCAGCTGTAGAACATTTTTTTTAAAAAAAGCGTATTTGAAGCGAATTCGCCTTTTTTTAAAATATCGAAAACTTTCAGGTGGCTTTATTTGAGTAAGAAGATAAAATTTAAACACATTTTTGAAATGAACTGATGAAGCTATCTTAGAAGAACACAAAACACACAAAAAGTGAGTTTCAAAAAAAATGTCAAATTAGCCCATTTAAAAAACACAGATTCATATATATTAGGTACGTGCGTATCTGGCTATTTACGGCACCGATTTATAAGTAAAAAACTGTGACCGTTTTTTTCACAGCGTGCTCGAAGTCGGTGTGGTAAGGATGTATTTATTAGTCTTTTTTTTTAGAATTTTATATCAGCTTAGACTTTTTTTGAAAAGTAGAATGTTTTATGTTGTATAAATTATGTTTTTTTTCTAAAAGTATTAAGTTTTTCAGTGATTTTATCGCTCTTTGAAATTTTGTTCGTGTTCTGGAAGTGCATTGATATTAAAGGCATGTTGCTACACATTTAAAATTTTCCAGTCAGCTGTGTAAATCTATTTTCTATGTTCCTGCCAAATTTCATTAAAAAATATTCATGCGCAGACACCCTATTTTGCCACCTAGTGGAGGTACATTTTCCACCTTTTTTACAACTACTGTTACTGTTACACTTTATTAAACTGTTTCTGTTAATGTTACTGTTACTTCTTGATATAAATTCCGTTGTTTTTTTTACATTTACTAGTGATTTTTATTAGATTTTCAAATTTCGTTTCTGTTCTGGAGGTACATTATTATTGAAGGCATGTTGCTACACTTTTAAAATTTTCCAGTAAGCAGTATAAATCTATTTTCTATGTGCCTGCCAAATTTCATTAAAAAATATTCATGCGCAGACACTCTATTTTTCTGTACAGTGGAGGCAGTGGCGGATTTTCCATTAGGCTGAGTAGGCTGAAGCCTAGGGGCCCGTCAGCCATAGGAACCCGGTTCGGAAGATGATTGCAAATTTTTTTTACAGCAAATATCGATATAGGTATGTATCATGGATAAATGAATGTATCAGAACCAAATGTTATTTTTAAACTAAAAAATCAATTTTGTAGCCCAGTTATGCTGCCCAAATGTTTGTTGATTACTTTGTCTTAGTCAAAAATTTGCTTTATTAGAACCAAATGTTATTTTTAAACTAAAAAATCAATTTTGTAGCCCAGTTATGCTGCCCAAATGTTTGTTGATTACTTTGTCTTAGTCAAAATTTTGCTTTATCAGAACCAAATGTTATTTTTAAACTAAAAAATCAATTTTGTAGCCCAGTTATGCTGCCCAAATGTTTGTTTTTTACTCTGTCTTAGTCAAAATTTTGCTTTATCAGTACCAAATGTTATTTTTAAACTAAAAAATCAATTTTGTAGCCCAGTTATGCTGCCCAAATGTTTGTTTTTACTCTGTCTTAGTCAAAATTTTGCTTTATCAGAACCAAATGTTATTTTTAAACTAAAAAATCAATTTTGTAGCCCAGTTATGCTGAGAATGGTATTCTTGAACAAATTGACACTACTGATGTCATTAGGTGTTTTGCAACACTGAAATAGGAAGTATACAGTAGATTCTTTAAGATAAGATTTACCCATGAAAATACGACACATTCTGTACAGTAAATTCTGTGAAATAGGACCATAGGGGGTAGGGTGTGGGTGGATGGAACAGAAAAGCATTGCGCGCATCTACGTGACTCATAAGTATTTTGTATGTATATTCAGAAACAATATTAATAAAACTTATAATATTGCTTGATTAAATATATATATATAATAATGCAGTATCTACATTGTATGTTTTTCGATTTCAGGTCATAATGGCATATCATCACAAGTCTGGGTATTAAAAAGCTAAAGACCGTGAAGATAAAAAGAAACGTGAGGAAGCAATCATTTCAAAAACTGTTAAAATAACTGAGCTTTTTCCTACAATTAGTGTCAATGTCAATAGAGAAGACCCACCATCGAATTCACCTTTACCATGTGTTGGTCAGTGTGGTTTGCCTGGTCAATTTGGTCATGAATTTGAACGTGATAACAGTGTTGCAGCTGTATGCACTCAATCTATCTCTCACTCTGAATCTGATAATATGGTAGACGCGGAGACACTTTCTCAGAAACCAGAAGCACAAGCTGGTTCCAAAGGTGATGACAATTCCTTTTCCACTGACATTGGGCAATGGTCTGAAGTGGAAATCAATGATACATTCTGTAACTTTTGGGTAACTCGTGGCAGTGAATGTTGTCAACATTCAAATGCTGACTTCACTAGTTCAATGCAAATTGATGGAAAACAGAAGCGCTACTGCTCACAGAATCTCTTTTATCGTGTTCATTCTCGCAATGGTGAGAAAGTCCCAAGGTCATGGTTGTGTTATTCACCAGCAACATCTCGCATTTACTGCTTTGTATGTAAATTATTTTCTGCTGATGATAATTCATTCTCAAGGAATGGTTTTTGTGATTGGAAAAATGCAGCTTCACGAATACAGTCGCATGAAAACAGCATTGCACATAGAAATGCAACAATCACATTCAGCCAAAGAGTACAAGTCAGAGGATGTGTAGATTCAGCAATAGTTGAGCAATACAGACAGGAATGTGCATATGCAAAATCTGTGCTAGAAAAAGTTGTCTCAGTTATCAAATTCCTTGCTGAAAGAGGGCTCGCATTTAGAGGACATACTGAAATATTGGGGTCAAGTTCTAATGGCAATTTTTTGGGAATTTTGGAGTTAATTGCTCAGTTTGATCCATTCCTCTCCAGTCATATTGACAACCATGGTGGTAAGGGGAAAGGCTCTGTTTCATACATGTCATCAACAATTTGTGATGAGTTAATTGATGTCATGGGAAAGCAAGTTATGAAAGCAATATTGTCTGAAATACGTGGATCAAAATTTTATTCGCTTTCTGTTGACTCTACTCCAGACATATCTCATGTTGATAGGCTGTCATGTGTCTTTCGATATGTTTTGAACGATGGCCCTATAGAAAGGTTTGTGCAATTTTTAAGCATGAAAGGACATGGGGCAGAAGATTTGTTTCACAGTTTATACAGCTTTCTGGAAGAAGCAAATTTGGATATAAAATATTGCCGAGGTCAGTCCTACGATAATGCTAGCAATATGGCAGGAAAATATTCAGGGTTACAGGCACGCATTCGAGAGAAGAACCCATTGGCTGAATATGTGCCATGTTTTGCACACTCCCTTAACTTAGTCGGTGCATCAGCTGTAAACTGCGTGACAACAGTGAGTGGATTTTTTGATTTTGTACAAAACTTGTATGTCTTTTTAAATGCATCGACCCAACGGTGGGAGCTTCTAACCAAAAGATTGGATAGTAACCAGTTAGTTCTAAAACGCCTTTCTGATACTCGAAGGTCAGCACATTCTGCAGCAACTAAAGCATTGAGCAAAGGCTTTAAAAATGTTAAGACAGTGTTAGAGAACATTGCTGAGGACCCCGAGGAGAAGGTTGAAGCTCGCACTACAGCTGCAGGAATTGCAAAGAAGATGGATTAGTTAGAGTATGGAACTTTATTAGAGCTCTGGACACCCATATTAGATTGCTTTCATAAGACCAGTTTAAAACTGCAAAGTCCACAACTTGATCTAAATGAGGCTGTTCAACTGTTGACTTCACTAAAAGAATATGTAAATTCACTTCGAGCACAGTTTGATTTCTTTGAGAAGAAAGGAAAGGAAATAACAGAGTCAACTTCTTATAAAGAAGAGAATCAGAGGAAACGAAAGCGAAGTGTTCAATTAACCCGTCATGATGGATCAGCTGATGAAACAGTGTTTTCGGCAAAGCAGAAATTTCGAGTCATGGTTTTCTTGCCAGTACTTGATCACTTGAATTCAGCATTATGTAAACGATCAGAGGCATACAGTGGTGTATGTGATAAGTTTGGTTTTCTGAGAAACATTCGATCACTGGAACAGTCTGATTTGCGAAGAGCCAGTAGAAACTTGATAGATACTAATGTAGATGATTTGGAAGAGTCATTTGAAGATGAAATACTTCACTTCAAAGAATATTTGTTAGCTGATACGTACTTGCAACAGAATGAGAAAGAACTGAAATGTAGCATAGAGCTGTATATGTATCGGGCTTTGAGAAACAGCAGTGCACTACAAGATATATTTCCAAATGTTGCCACAGCACTTCACATATACCTCAGTTTGATGATCACCAACTGCAGTGATGAAAGATCATTCTCTGCATTGAAACGGATAAAAAACTATCTGCGAAGTGCTTTGGGTGATGACAAACTGAATTCCCTTACTGTTATGTGTAATCTGAATCTGACATCCTAAGAAGACTTCAATGAAATTTTATCAGACTAAGTTGAACGAAAATGCAGAAAAATGAATTTTTGATCGTGTTGTTTTTTTCTTTGGGTCAGCCATTTATAAAATATATACTAGTATCTAAAATACCTGATAATTTGTTTGTAATTTTGAAATAAAATTAGATTTTATTATAGATATTATTATTATAAATAAAATTAAAATTGTACTTTTTGACGTATTTTTTAGAAAAATATAGGTATATAGGGCCCATGAATTAGTTAAGCCTATAGGCCCATAATTTGATAATCCGCCACTGAGTGGAGGTATGTATTTCCACTTCCGTTTAGGCGGGGAAGGGGGGGGGCGTAATTTAATGGTGAGCATTTGGTATATTAGATTGTTTATTCATAATAATGAGATATATAGATAGCTTTCATTAAAAAGGTATACAATTTTTTTTTGAATAACCTTTTATTAGTAATAAATGGCTATTGAAAAAAAAAAGTTGTTAGTAATAATATTACTAACACTATTGATGATTTCACACAACAAAATTAGTTTCAAGGCTAAATTCTGTTAAATCTAATTTCAAATGCTGAAATAAAAATTATGACACTTTTTTATGGTGATTCAGAATAAAATGCGAAATAATGATAACAAACAAAAACAGCATATTCTCAATTTTTTTCTGTACCCATAATTTACCATATAACCACCAACCAGCATTATTTATGATATATAAAAATTATATATATATATAATTTTTTATTGACTACAGGCAATTTATTAGTTAGTTAATTGTGATTGATTGCTGACCCAATTAAATAGTAATTAAATATTAATAATGATTAAATTACAATTAAAGTAGTGTTATGATCGTTGAATTTAATTTAGTGCATCATGGGACCTAAAAAGAAAACAAATCTATTTTATGGTAAAGCTAAATCTTATTTAGTTTGTAATTTTCCAATACCAGCTCATTTAAATATGGGCTGTAGAAATGGACATGTACTGCATATATTGACAACTAACGTTACCAAGTAACTGTAGAACAAATCAGTAAGTATTTTAACATCAACATTTTTCCCAATGAGATTCTGCAACTAGTTAGAAAATCAAAAGTCTTTGTAAAAGGTTTTTCACGAAATTCAAAACAATTTATTGACATCTGCAACATGCTCTTTGAATACCAACCAACAACATCTGCTGTGACTCAAACATCACAGTTAATAACAACCTCTAATCACATAGCTACGTGTTCTTCATTTTTTTCTCAGCAAATGCTGTTTCGTCTCTATCAAATAGTGACTCTTCTCAAGAATCATTATCCAGGTTGAGAGCTGACCAGGTTAGTCCCAGGAAAAAGATTATGAGAAAGAGATTAACCATTTTGGAAAACAAAATCGCAATTAAAAAGAGAAAACATGAAGAAGATCTTAAAGGTTTAAGAGAAAAGGCAAAGGCTAGACCATACAGATTAAAATATCTAAATCAAGTTATTGCTCGTAAGGAAAAGATAATTCATCAACTTAGAAAAAAATTAAAAGAAAATATTTTAAATATACAGTTAAAAAAACTTCAAAATCAAATTTTTTATTTGAAACAACAGTTAACATTCACCGAAACCAAGTTTTTTAATCAAAAGACAATGTTATCCCAACAACTTGCTGACAAAAATTATGCAATTCTTGTACTTCAAAATGACATACTGGTTTTACAGGAAGATATTCAGCAAGTAACACAAAACACCAAAAATGAAAAATGCTACTCAGCAGATATCAGAACACTTATATATGACATGCTTGTGTGCCAAGTTCCTACACATAGTGTGCCATCTCTGCTCCATAAAATTGGAGAACATACTGGCTATCAATTTAGTCAAATTCCACATCGGACAACTGTAGAACAAATGATGCGTGAGCTTGGTGTTCTTTCAGACTTACAGACTGCTGAGATAGCATTTACAACGAAAGATCTGACACTTGGTTTTGATGCAACAACCCAGGAGGGTGTTCATGTAAATGCTGTGCACTTAACAACCGAATCAGTATGTATGGTTGTAGCTATTGATCAACTTCCTGGAGGTACAGCTTATGACTATCAGAGTCATATTACAAAATCTGTTGATAATCTTGCTAAGTTATATAGTGACTTCTACAAGCTTAAATACACTGATGTAAGAAGCACTATTATCGAAAACATAACAAATACCATGAGTGATAGAGTTGCAACAAACCATGCAACAGTCTCAAAGTTAAACCTAGTTTGTCAGAAATCATTAAATGAACTTAACTGTCACCTTCACCCCTTGGACACAATGACAAGCTCTTGCAAGTCTTCACTTAAAGCATTAGAGACTTCAAAAGGGAAACTTTTTGGATAAGACTGCATAGCAGCAAACATTGTTGTACAGCTGAACAAACTTCGTTACAAGGATGCTAAAGGTACGAATATAGTTTTAAAACCATTCTTTTACTTTAATATAGTGTAGTTTTGTAAATAAAATTACAAGTTAAAAATATATAAATATTATAATTATTGCATGTTTTTAACTCATATTCTCCTTGCAATTCCCAAAATGACTTTCTTTATGTTATTCATAGGCGATCCAAAGGGTTTTGTAACCTTTTTGGACCAACATGAGTTGCCCAGAGGTTTGCTACCACGCTATAGAGGGAACAGACTACATATACTTTTTCACACATGTGGTATTTTGATCCATCATTATGCCATATTGAAGATATTTCTGTGTTCTGGCTTGGCGTTATGTGGAGGTCTGCGAAATAGTTTGTTTCAAGACTTTACATCTGAAATAGGTATACCACTATTATTTACAATATTATAGTTTATAGAATGCATCTTTATAACATAGTAATGACACATGATTAACAAAGAATAAAGACAAATTTTATTTTTTGTTACTTATTAACTAATTTACCTTAGGTATCCGTGAGTTGTGTGTTTTAGCTTTAATTGGAAAGCTACTTTCTGGCCCTTGGATGACAAAATTTTATATTGCACCAGGTACAGGACTTGACTACATATCTGGCATTTAGGTAGTAAAAGATGTTAGGAACACTCTTATTGAGAGCAGCAAGAATCCCTTATCTCTACTTAAACGAAAAACTGATTTCTTTGGTAATGATATTAAAGATGTTGTTTTTGATTCAATAATTAGCTTTTGCCCAGTAACTAATGAAATGAGTAAAGCATTAGGTGACTGTCTTAATGCTGTTATTAGCGTCATTGACAGGCAGTACAAGCGTCAGTTCGAAATGAGTTCTAATGATCTTCTTAAAGACCAGACTAAGTCAGCCAGGCTTTACATCATTGATTCAGAAGAACTTATGGGTATGTTTAGCGCTGCAAAGCACAAAGCTCCTAATGCTACTCTTTGTTTTCTTTCTTCAAAACTTCGTGCTTGCAAAAATAAACCAACTGTTCTGCTTTGTAAAAAGCCAACTGATATTCAAAACAAGTTGATATTATGGGCTATCTCTAATGCCAGGAAAATTGGATTTACAAGTTTGCAATGTCATAATGAAATGAAGTTAGAACTGCTAAAACGAATGGCGGATAAAATTCAGAAAAGGGAAGACAAAGACCGCAGAAAGGTAGAAAAAATATTAAAAAGTTGCATGCCCGATCAGGTGAAAGAAATGTTTCCTGACCTAGAAAATAACGAGGCCTCAGATATTGAAGAAATTCTTATTGGAGCTGCTATTGGAAGAAGTATTTGCCACATGTGGTTCGATAATGCCAATAACACCCATGAGGTATATTACGGCAGAATTGTTAGCATTAAAAAGAAGAACAATGATATATATATAAAGTTTCTTATTGGAAACCAAAAGAAAATGAAGATGATGACGGTGTTGAGTATGATATGAGCAAATATCAACTTTCTGCAGACATAATAAGCGGTGATATGGTGATAACATAACAGAATTGTGTAATAATAAGGTATATGTTATTTTAAGTATTAGTATGTCTTATAAACTTGCATTAACAGTTATTATTTACAGATAGTAGGTGAATTTCTTTTTTTTTTTTAAGAATAAATTTTGTTATGCCTAATATATATCTAATTCCTTCTTTTTTTTGTAGTATTATGAAAAGATTTATAATTTTTTAATTTGTTTTTATATATACATATATTTACATAGAAGTTTAATTTTAGGTAGTCGGGTAGTTACCGACATCCAACAACCAGGGTTGACCTGGTTGCAACGTGCTATGGGAAACCAAAGCTCATTTACTTTTTGACATAAGCAAATTGCTTGGCTTATGACAATTAATGTTTATCATTGATGTTTATCATTATCAATTATTGGCAATGCATTTTTCTATCAAGTATAACAGAGTTTTGCTTGCGTGGATTGAGAGATGTTAGTGTTCCATTACAATAAATCCCTTTAAAATTAAAATTTTTATTTATTATTTATTTGCTTGCCATTACCAGAGAGTAATGACTAGATACCTTTTTTTTTTTATTTTTAATCAAATCTTTTATATTTCAGGTTAAACAGTATTGAAGGGTCGGCTATCGATTTTTTTGTTTATTAATGGGAAGTTTGTTGTGTATCAGGAGTAATGTGATTTTGAATTTTTTAACTTAATAAATCATTCTCATATTTAGTAATCTCTAATCTAATTAATCTCTAATCTAACTAATCTAATCTTTCATTTATTTTTTATTGCAAGGTTTTAACAATAATGGCAATTTGCTACTGTGGATATTTATGTTAAAGACCTCAAGATTATATTTATTAATTCAGTAATTACAGTTAAATGTTAATTCATTTTACATTAGTTAATTGTTAGCCTTAATTTTTATTTTTTTTTAAATTTTATATCTGATATATTTTTTCTTATTGCAAGGTTAAACAACATGAAGAAAACTACATGGTTGCTTCAGTGGATGTTGATCTTTTTCATATCAAGATTAAACCGGTTAGATCATATTTATTTAGAGGTTTATTGTGTTTATTAATGCAGTAATAACAGTTATATATTATTTATTATCCGGGACATAGGGCATCCTTATTAAATAGGTATTGCGATATTAGTTTTGAGAAATTTTTACTTTATTTTAGATATTATTGGATGTGGTTTCCTTTGCGTACTAAAGAATCGACTCTTTCTATCTATGGATGTCACAGTTTTGTTTGCTTCAAAATCTAGGCTTTTTTCAAAGCCACAATTCTGTTAAAAACATTACTGAGCAAAAAAGATATTTTTTTGTTAAAGAAGTGTGTTTTAAAATGGTTTTAGTTTTTGCGGTTTGTTGGAATTTATATATAATTAGATATATGGGGCTATGGAAGGGAAAAGGAAGGGGAGCAGTGGTGGACATCCACCCACCAACCCCACCCATTTGTTTAGTTGGATATTTTTTTAGTAGGTTTTTAGTTAAACTATATGGTATAACTGACACGGCTTTTAAAGTGGGGAGGGGGGCCAACTTTCTAATTTCAAAAAAAACAACCTACATTTCTAAAAAAAAGGTCCTCGAAGCAATTAGTGGGGGAGGAGGCATAGCCCCCTATGGTGTCGACGGCCATGAAAGAGGGAGGTGAAACCCCTTCCGTGAATGAATTTTTTGTTTATTTAGTAGGCAAAATATATCTTTATATCTATATATATCTTTCATTGAAAAAGATAAAAATAAGCATAAATAGAGAGCGAAAACGCTAAGGCTTTAAATGTCTTTAAAGTTCATCTATACGCTATAGAAAACCTAGCCTTGGTACATATTTAATAACATAAAAATATATAACCTTAACCATTATTATGTATAAATGTGTGTGTATATATATATATATATATATATATATATATATATATATATATATATATATATATATATATATATATATATATATATATATATATATATATATATATTATATTGTAAATATCGTTAAAATACACGATATTTTATTTAAAATTTTGTTATAGATTTTAATATTAGGTTTTTATCATTAAAAATATTTTTGTTATAAATTGTTAAAAAATTTTTGTTATATTAAAAACTTTTTTAAAAATGTTATAAACTCGTTTTGCACATTTCACCATAGTCAATAGAAATAAACCCTGGTCTGGAAAAGCTATTGTCGTATGTTATTGTTCGCTTTTTTTTAAGTCACGTGATCAAATCTAGTGCAAAACAAACAAAACTTTTATAATGAAAGTTACGAATTAATAAAGATTTTGATGTTTATTTTAAAGTAATATATTAAAATTATTATTTTTCTTTATTATTAAAATAATATTGGTTCCTTTCTATTGTCTATGGTTTAAAAACTTTATTCAATTTAAAATGTTTCTTTATATTCTATATTTAAAAAAAGTCTAAAAGATAAATCCAAAATGCCAGGTTCAAATTGTTGTCTACCAGGATGTACAGTTTCAAGATCTATTAAGCACAAAGATATCACCTTATTCAGAATTCCTATGAGGACAGGAGACTTTTATAAAAAATGGAGACAGAGATTGTTAGCTATTATCACTCAGTATAGAGACTTTGACAAAGATTTGAAAGAAAGACTCTCAAAGGGCAATATTTATATATGTGAGAATCATTTTTTAGCAGAAGATATTGAATTGACAAGTAAGGATACTTTTATATATTTAGTTGTTTAAATTTGCTTTTACACTCTGTGTTATTTAATTTTAAAAGCTTTAATTTTGGGCAACTCTGATAAGTTTAAGTACAATAAACAAATAAATTTCATAAAGCTTAAAGTATTTGTGGCTTTAATTAAATTTGTGGATAACATATTCTCTTTTTTTCTCAGTATTGTTCTTATTTTTGTGTGATAATTTATATTTACTTTATTGAAATATGTTGAATTTCAGAAACTGGAAGGAAATCATTACGCTTAGAGGCTTTACCAACTGTTAACCTACCCATAAAATCACATGAAAAAGAAAAAAAGGTACCTAGAAGACACATAAGTATTGTAAAAGATATTGTCCCACAGAAGCGAATAAATTATTCAAACTTAATTGATTTACAGAAAAAAACCCAAAAGTTAAAACTTAGTGGATGGGAGATGACATGTAATGAAAACAATATCAAATTTAAAAAGTTATTGCCTTTGTATTTGTTACCTAAGTATGAAGTTGTAGTAGATGACAGTTTAGCGTTCACCATTATTGTATTTGGGTGGCTCTTGCCAGATATTCACTTAATCTATAAATTATACTCACGATCAATGCTGAACACTACAGTTACCGAACTTTTATGCAAAATATGTACATTAAGATTTTGTTCTGGTATTATAGAAAACATCAGAAATATAAATAATGATGATTTTGTTGATCATATTGTTCCAATGGAATTTGATTTAGAAAGTGCAAGTACAGATGGTATGCGTGTATCAAATGAAAGGTTTAAAAGAGCAAAATCATGTATTATATTACATACTAGTGAGTCTGATAATATAAATTCTGTTTGTTCATTTTGTACCCACACACTAAAAAAGAACAAAATGATTAAAATAAAAAAACAACATCAGTTAGCCACACCTGCTCTTCGAAAAGCTCCACTTAGTAAAACAAATCCTGTTCGCGTTCTATTAGCATTAAAACAAGAACGTCTAAGATGTGCCCAGCTAACAAGTGATTTAGAAAAAATAAATTTTCAAATAGACTCTAAAGGTATTACTATTGATGATGGGTTTGTTGATGATTTAAATCAAATAATGAGTAGTAACTACGAAAAAGCTACTCCCTTTATGAAATTATTTTGGGACCAGCAAAAGAAAATGTGTAATAAAAATTTTGGCTCAATAAAGTATCACCCTATGATAATACGGTTTTGCCTCTCACTTGCCTCAAAGTCGGCCTCAGCTTATGATGAGTTGCGCTCATCAAATGTACTAACATTACCAAGTCGCAGAACTCTAAGAGATTATAAGAATTTCATTCGACCGAAAGCTGGATTAAATCCTCCCGTAATTGAAGAATTGAATAAAATTAGTATTAACCTAGTTGGCTACCAACGATATGTAACGTTATCTTTTGATGAAGTAAAAATACAAGAAAAACTTGTTTTTAATAAACACACAGGTGACATTATAGGTTTTGTAGATTTAGGTGAACTCTGATTTATATTCTACTTTTCAAAAGGAAGATTCTTTAGCAAGCCATGTTCTAGTCTACTTCATTCGAGGTATTGCTTCTGACTTAAAGTTTGCTTTATGTCACTTTGCTACTAAAGGTCTCACCTCGTTTCAACTAATGCCAACTTTCTGGGAAGCAGTTGGAGTTTTAGAACTGACATGTAAATTATATGTTATAGCTGCAGTATCGGATGGTGCAGCACCAAACAGAAAGTTCTATCGAATGCATAGTATGTTTGATGACAAATTAGATTGTAATGTTGTTCGTCGATGCATTAATATTTATGCCCCTGAACGGTACTTATGGTTTTTTGCTGATGCTCCCCATCTCATCAAAACAGCAAGGAACTGTTTATATCACTCAGGTATGTAAATTATATTTAAAGTGTATTGGTTTACAGGCCTTTCCAGTAGAAAATTATCAGGTTATGGTTATTTCTTGCTGGAAAGTAATAATAAAATAACAGATTTTTATATTAAAAAGTATGAAATGCTTACTTATTTAGCTAAGATTAGAAGGGCTATGCAATGTTTTAAACCTCCCTAGATTGAGAGTTGAATTGTAGGCAATAATTTTCTGTTATATTAAGATTCAATCTTTTTTTATTTCAGGGGATGGAAGGGGTACACGAAGTCTTTGGAATGATGGACAACAATTGATTTGGTACCATATCACAAGAATAGTCAATGACGAAATGAAAAATGGGTTAAAAATTATACCAAAGTTAACACAGGATCATATTAAACTTAGTGCTTATTCTGTTATGAATGTAAGACTTGCAGCCCAGGTTTTAAGTAGTAGTGTCAGTAACATTTAAAAAAATTATTACCCTGATGATACAAATGGAACTGCAAAATTTTGTGAAATGTTAGATAGTTTTTTTGATTGCTTAAATGTGCGAAACAGCAGTGAAGGGATAATGAAACGCAAACCATTTTTATTACCATACACGTATGTTAATGACGAGCGTTTGACATGGCTACAGAATACATTTTTATGCTATCTAGAAAAATGGAAAGAGTGTATTATTAATCGTCCTGGTAACTTTTCCAACAATGCAAAAGGAAGAATGTTTATCTCTTGGCAAACATACGAAGGACTTCAAATAACTGTAATGTCTGTTATCGAATTGGTAAAATTTTTATTAAAAAGTGGTATGCCGTTTGTTTTGACTGAAAAATTCAATCAAGACGTTTTGGAGGAATACTTTGGTAGACAACGGAGTTTAGGTCGAAGAAATGACAACCCTACACTATATCAATTTGGTTACCAGTCAAATACCTTGCGATTGCAAAGATCAATTGCGCCGGTTACTGGAAATACTAAAGGTGGTCATGGTCAAAAACGTGAAGTATCTTGGAGTGTTGTTGATAATGAAAAATTACTGAAACGAAAAAAAAACCTATAAATATAATCTAAATATAAACATAGCATATAACAAAATATATCAATTATTTGTATTAAGTTTAAAGTTTAAGTCTTTATTTATTGTTTGATTTACGTTTTATACTTTTTCTTAAAGATTTTACTTTAAAACTTTGATCATTGTTTTTTGCAGTTATATTTTTAGCCAATGAAAATGTACGAACTCTAAAATAAAGTTACTTCATTTTTTCTAACAAGTTAAGCTTAATTTCCTTATCAATAGACACGAATTTCACATCATCCACGATTGCATTGTAAAAACTTATAATATTAGGATCCTTTAATAGGTGTTTTGTTAAATTCTTACTTTCAATATTTCGGAGGTTAGCAACTGCAGTTTCTTGTCTAAAATGTTTCTCAGCTAGCAAGAAAATCTGATAGCATTCTTCACATACTGCTGTTAAACCCCCTCTGTTTTGGGTATTTATTAACTTTTCTGAACTTGAAACTTCTTTAGTTGTTTGAAGTAATAATGCAATTATAGCTTGATTGTACTGGCTTTTGTAATTTTTTGTTGTTTTTGCCTTTTTAAGTAGATTTCTTATAACATACCCAGACAAATATTTTAATCCATCCACTTCACGTGGTGAAATTTCTTCAACTTCAACATTCTTTGAAGGAGAGCTTTGAAAATGCTGAAATAATTTATTGCATAACTTTGTTGTAAATACTGTTGATGCAGGTTTCTTTAGATTAAAATATGTGTCTGAAAAGAGAACAATATTGCTATAAAAGTTGGAATAATACTTTTCAGCATTTCCAGATGATTTTAATTTTTTTGACATTTTTCTTATTTCATCAAAAACGTTTTCTGTTATTTTTATTTCAAAGTCTTTTATTTCTGAAATAACTTCTTGAGGATAACATTTATTTGTTGACAAATCAGCTTTAGTTTCTGCAACAATTTTTTTTATATCTGTGACAAAATCATTATAATGCATATCTGTAAGACTCTTTATGGTATGTTTGTTTTTATTGTGTCGTGCTAAGCCTCCTTTTGTTTTATACGTTTTGGATTTGCAAATTTTGCACTTGAAGTCTCCAATATCGGTTACCTAATATATATTAAAAATAGCATTTATTATATATATATTATTTTAGTACGATTATCAACAGTAAATATTAGGATACAATAACTTTTAAAAATGTTTTTTTAATTTAACTTAATCATTTGCGTTAACCTTTACACCAAAATAAACCATTCTAATTAAAATTTAAAAATTATTATTACCTCTAATAATGCATTATCAAAATATTCTTGCAAATCTGGATTTAATTCATCATCAGCATTAATATTTATTATATAATCAAGCGTTTCGCCTGTAAAAAGTTCTTCAAAAAACGCCATTTAAAAATTTGTTTTGCACTAGATTTGATCACGTGACTACTTTTTACGCACTTTTCAAGATACGGTTTTAAAATAAGATTGAAACAATAGCTTTTCCAGACCAGGATTTCTATTGACTATGATTTCACTAAGCAAAATCATGAGCAAATTAACAATAACGTTCTACAAAGCTACCGTTAGCCAAACGCGAGTTTTTTACGATGGTTGCATTTTTCCTAAGCAATCCTTCATAAAAATAATGTCACTTAAATAAGCATAACTTTTTTTGTAATAATTACGAACAATTATTGTATTTAAAAAACGAACAATTATTGTTCGTTTTTCATAAAATTTTCACCATTTTAATATAAATTCAAAGCTCTTTCGAACCATATTTAATACTTAAACGAATAAATGATTTAAAATTTTTACACACGTACCTATATATATATATATATATATATATATATATATATATATATATATATATATATATATATATATATATATATATATATATATATATATATATATATATATATATATATATATATATATATATATATATATATATATATATATATATATATATATATATATATATATATGTATATATATATATATATATATATATATATATATATATATATATATATATATATATTAGACCATCCCATTTTGACCCTCATGAACGAATTTTATTTCACGGAGTGTCTCAAAATGTTCTCAAGATATTGGTTTATTAATGAATTTTTTTTTTTTTTTCTGGATGAGTATTTATTCTCGCGCCATTCGTTGAAAGTTTAACTTTTTTACATTTTTTTGAGTTTTTATGGGAAGTTTCAAATGATCAGCGCGAATAGAAATTTATAAACCTTTAACAATTTAACTGCGTCAATACAAAGAATGAAAGGTTTTTTATAAATAAAACAAATACTGAAATACAAATTTATACATGATACATTGATACATTGACATGATTTATGCTGGATACATCAATACAAGAGTTATAGTTCAAAAGAATAATATTAAAGTCTCTTAAGATCATTTAATTTTCAAAGAATAACTTGTCATGCAGAGTTTGTATGAATTACTTATTAAACTTATTTGTGGACATACAAGGGTGATGGTAAATACATCCCACAATGATATTTTTTCATTCAGATATAAGATTTCATTGAAAGTCGATTCAAGTTCTTTTAGTTTTAAAATTTGAAGGGCAGATCTCAACTTGTACTTCAAGTCTGATTTTATATATAGAAGTGTCCCTCCTCTGTTGGAACAACGTTTGGTATGTTCAAAGGTATAGCTACTTAATGAAATATCAGTTTTAAGAATTTGATTTTGCTTTAAACAGGTTTCAGATATTGCAATAATATTTGGTTTGTTTTTCATAAGAGCTAGCAGACATCTAAAGTTATCAATGTAGAATATTAAAGATGATATATTAACATGAACAAAAGTTTTCGAATTTTTATTAATAGCATGATTGTATTCAGTTGTATCATAGTATTTAAAATTTATTTTGCGTTTGTTGAGATTTTCAAAAAAAATTTTTTGATTAGGAGATGTTTCATGTTGTGAAATGTGTAAGAAATTATTTACACCATTTATAGTAAGCATGAGTTTATTATCAGAAAGATTTAAGAATGGTAAAGTGTTTTGTAAACATAAGTAACAGTACCAATTGCCTGTTTCTGACCCAAGATAATTGTAGCATTTAATAGTCAACCCATTACATTAAAAATGTTGCAAGAACCACATTGTATGACTTTATGATTACTTGTAACTGATTTGAAACAGATACCACAGGGAAACTTTATACCCATTTTATAGCATTTAAAGTGTTAAGTATTCAATAATTTATGTGTTGTTTACTTTTTGAGTATATTTAGTTTATAATATATACTGAAGATAATTTATTAGTATTTTAAATAATGCAAATGATTTCTCAAATAATTAAGAAACTCTAAAATATATTTAGATAGAGACTAAACCTAGTTTTGAACTAGGTAGGGATAGTTTTAAAGATAAATAAAGTTAGTTTAGAATATATATAAATTTAATTTTGAAGATATGTAAAGTTAGTCTTAAAGATATATTAAGTTAGTTTTAAAGATATATAAAGTTAGCTTTTATAATATAGTAAATGTATGGGATATATGAGGTTTATTAGCAACTATAGATAAAAAAACTAAATATGTAACTATATGGATCATATTAACATTTTAAATAATTAGTAATTAAATGTTTACTTAAAACAACTTTTAATCAATACTTACATAACATAATATAATATTTTTGTAATAACATAATACATTTTTTTTGATAAAAAAACATATTATATTTAAAACTATTTAAATAAATTATGTTTAATAAATAAGTTACATTTAGTATAGATTTTTTTTTAACATTAGAGACATTAAAGTTTAAAAATAGCTAGTTCTTAATAAAACTTTTGATAGGTTATTTTAATTGCCATTTTTTATTTATTTTTAAAACGAAAAAAGAATATAGAAAAGAAACAAAACTATCTGAAAGTTTATGTTTTACTTTCCTTATGTAAACCAAAATAGCAAGCCAAATATCATACGTTCATTCATTTAAAAATTAAATTTGCATGATAGTTGTTAAGACTGAAATTATATATATATATATATATATATATATATATATATATATATATATATATATATATATATATATATATATATATATATATATATATATATATATATATATATATATATATATAAATATAAATATATATATATATATATATAATATAAATATATATATATATATATATATATATATATATATATATATATATATATATATATATATATATATATATATATATATATGTGTGTGTATGTGTTAGCATTTATGTATATATACATATACTTATATGTATGTATGTGAGTGTATTTGTGTGTGTGTGTATGTGAGTGTGTATATGTATGTATATATATATATAATATATATATATATATATATATACATACATACATATACACACTCACATTTAAACATATATATATATATATATATATATATATATATATATATATATATATATATATATATATATATATATATATATATATATATATATATATGCGTGTGTGTATATGTTTGTGTGTATATATATATATATATATATATATGTATATATATATGTATATATATACTTATATATATATATATATATATATATATATATATATATATATATATATATATATATATATATGCGTGTGTGTGTATGTGTGTGTGTGTGTATATATATATACATATATATATATATACATATATATATATATATATATATATATATATATATATATATATATATATATATATATATATATATATATATATATATATATATATATATATATTTAAACAATTTATAATGTATTCTACAAAAAGAGTGCTCAATGTTCTTAAAAGAACAGAGCAATTACAAATTAGTAGAAAATCACTTAGCAAAATAAGAAAAAAGAAAAGAAAAAAAAAAATTTTGCTAAGTGATTTTCTACTAATTTATATATATATATATATATATATATATATATATATATATATATATATATATATATATATATATATACATGTATATATATATAT